TATCTATATTTAATAAGCTATTTACTTATTATATAGTAATTATTAGCTAAAGGTATTTTGTTATATCTTAATAACCTAATCTATAAACTATATCTTTCTTTAATATTATACTTAAAATAGTAATTAATAAGGCACTTCTTTACCTCTTTTTAGTTATAATTATATATAAAGTACTTTATTTTTTTTATAATATACTATATAATAACTTTTAATAGTTCCTTAACTTAGTAGGTATTTAGGATACCTTAAATATTAAACTAGTTATCTAGTCTTTATAAGAAGTTAATAATATTATTTTTATTAAATTTATCCTTAAAGGCTATCTTTAGCTAAAGGTTAGCCTAAATTAATATTATAAGAAAATCCTTCTTATTAATAGTTTTAAAAAAGTCTAAATTTAAGCTAGTAAAATCCTTATTAACTAACTTTAGCTATTAGCCTTTACCTACTATAGTTAACCTAACTTATTTTCCTTTTCTAAAAGTATATTACTTCTTTTTAGTCTCTAAACCCTCTTTTTCTCCCTTAAGGAGTCTAGGTTCCTTAATTATATTAGTTAAGTTATTACTAAGGGTAATAATATCTTTTATTATAATAAATAACTCTCCCTTATATACCTTTTATATTTTTATATTACTAGATAATATAAATATTATTATAATTAAAGGTTAATAGTTTTATTAAGACTTTAATAGTTAAAGTAAAGGTAATATTTCTTTAAGTAGTTTTAATAACTTTAGTTAGTTATATTTTACTAAAAGGATTATAAGAGTAAATAGTAACCTTATCTTTTATCTTTATAGTTATTAGCCTCTTAATCTATAGTTTCCTAATATTACTTAGGTTAATAATACCTTAATCCTTACTTATCTATCTTATCTTAATATAATATACTTTATTATTATAGCTTATTATAGGCTATTTACCTAATATCTTAATATTATAAGTTAATATAAGTCTTATTAAGATTATAATTATAAGTATTTAAAGTAATATATTTAAGTTCTTAAGGTAAAGATAGCCTATTATAAGATATTATCTTTATATTAGTTATTTTATATTTTATTATAAGAGCTAGGCTTTTATAATTTATTTACCTTATAATCTCTAATATACCTCTAGTTTCCTTATAAAAAATACCTTAGTCTTTTTCTAGTCCTTACTTATTAACCTACCTTATTTCCTAATTCTTAACTAATCTATAAATTAATAACCTAGTACTTTAGTATTAATAGATAATTTAGATATAACTTACTTATAGTACTTTTAACTAGTATATAAGAATTATATTAGCCTAAGATAAGAAAAGTACTCTTAATATTAAAATAGCCTTTTATTCTCTTATATTTTACTATAAAGTAATTTAATCCTTTATAATTACTAATATCTTAATTATAAGTATTCTAGTTCCTTTATAGATACTACTTTAATCTTTACCTAGTCTTATATTTCCTAAGTTATAACTTATTTCTTAGACTAAGGTCTTTTATAAGTTATTAGCTTATTTTTCTTTTAATTTATATCTTAGTTTAATAATAAAACTTTCTTAAGATTATCTAATTAAATTAATTAAATAAGCTTAAAATAAACTATCTTTAAATTCTTTTTCTTATTAAGCTTTTTAGCTTCCTTAATAGGTTTTAGGTTCTTATTATAATAACTTACTAGTACTTTTACC